ATATATATATAATTTATGAGTTAATCACTTATACAACCAATCATATCTTTTAATAGTGTAATGTCATTTGCTTATTTAATGAAATAAAAATAAAATAAAATAATATAAAAGATATGATTGGTTGCCAGTGTAAAAAAACTTTATACTAGCAGTGTATAGATGATTAACTCATAATTTATATGCATATGTTTGGATTTTATAATTTAGTAGAATCTTATATTTTGTATTAGATTTCATGAGCTATAATTATCCGACTTTTTTTTGAGTTGAATTAGAATCTTGATTTTGACTATTTTAATCTTTCTTTTAAATCACATTTTTTTATTCACAACACTTGTTGGTGTATTACATAAGTATATTTGAAATCAAGTATTAAAAATATATAATTTCAATAAAATTAAAAATTAAAAGTATTACTTATATTATCAATTTTTAATTTTGTTATATGAAAATATATCATTTTAAAAATGTATAAAAAATAATGTTATGTACTTAACTAATATGATAAATTTAATATTATATTAATTTTGATAGTATTCAATAGAAGACTTAAAAAAGTAAATAATTAATAGACATATTTTTTTAGCTAAATAAACTACCTCAATTTTTTTATAGATTATATCATGATACTTGTAGTAGTTAAACTTAAGTTTATCGTACACGTCTTCATCTTGTATGATAATTTTTTAATCACCGAATTAATACTATGAAAGATCATCGCTAAAAATAATAACTAATTTTTGTTGATTACCGAAGTGCAAATAAGGTGGATTCCATACTAAATATAGTTTACATTAAATTAGACCTATATGTTAAGCAATTGTTTGATGGTCAAAATAAATTTTAGTTCTATCTGTTTAGTGCATAAGTATAACATATCAACCAAATTAAATTTTATCCAATTTCAACTGCTAAAGAGACACTTATGATATATATAAGGAAGGGTTTTGGGTGATCAGTAAAATTGGGTATCCTTGGATTAAAATTGAGAACTAGATGAATCTATGAGCAACTTGGAAGTATTGTTACAGGTAATTTGGGACTGTTGAACTAATCATCAATACCTAAATTCAACAAAATTAGTATAAATAGTAACTTATGATGAAGTAAAAGGTGTTTTTTTTTTTTTTTTTTTTTGCATTTATTATAACATTTATTGTATTGACTAATCTGAAATCAATGATTGACTTAAACTTTATAATGTCTTTTGCAGACATCTTCCACTTTCTTTCTTAAACAGTTATAAGGTACATATCTTGAAAAAGTCAAAAACTTTTTGGAAGAATAAAAGTAGAGCTGTCAAAATGGGCTCAGCCCGGTGAGCCAACCCGGCCCACCACGGGTTCGAGCCGGGTTGGGCTAAAAAAAATTTGCAAATTTCAGTGTGGGCCAATTTTAAACCCGGCCCACTAACAACCCGGCTCACCCGGATTCAACCCGTGGTGAGCCGGGCTGACCCACCAGCCCATAAAAAAAAAAAAAAAAA